GGGCGTGGTGAAAGACGCACTTGGATCGTATAGTATCGACGTAATTAGATCGTAGTATCGGCACTGGGCCCGGCTGGGGCCCAATTGGCCACGCTCTCAACCACGCTCACCACGCTCGGGCAAATTTTTTGAGCGTGGGGCGATCGTGATGAGCGTAGCTCTAGTGTGAAGGGGCCTTTAGTAAGCTTACTAGGGCCGACCGCTTCTTCGGTATAGGTAGGTAAGGTAAGATATTCGGTAAGGTAGGACCATACCGGTCCTACCTTAAGCTTACACGAGTAACTTTAGTGTTATTATCTTATATAAACGTTTTTTCTTAAATTTGTTACATACTTGAGAAATGACAACCTGGTCGTTTATGCTTGAACTGAATGAATATTTTTAGCACTTCAATCGTTTCTTGGTCAGTATAAGATGAATGAGTTCCAGAAATATTCAGTATCGGTAAAATGTTGGCTAAATACTGGGGAATTTCACTACAACAATACTCGAAATTTCAGCATCATTTTCAGTTAAATTATGGGCTATTTATGCCACATATGTCAATTATATACCATTGATGTTTAATATTCACATTTTTAACATGCTTATATTTGGCATGGGTACGTGACGCCATTGTATTTGCTGCTTGTGATATGGTAATGGCAAAAGTTTCACTTGAATTTGAATTTGACTTTTAAACATTGATCTTATAGCAAAAGGCTAAATATACCCCTAACTACGATTTAATTGGAATATAGCAGCATATAGTAAATTATTCATGTACCATATAGTCATTCATCACAATCAAGTGGTTAATTAAGCGCCTACTGCGAAACGTTGGGAAATCCAAGGTGCAACTTGCATTATCATAATGTACTGGCATTATTATAGAACATTTCTATTATGGACTCTTAAATCTATGGTTTAAATGAGTGCGAGCGTGTATTGAACAATATTTGAGAATGGAAGCTAGCTAGGTCACTAGCGTATTTGCCTTTAACTTTTGCTACTCTTTGAATTTTTAATATTGCCCCTATGTACAGACTATATACAGTATGTTGCGAAGAGTTTGTGTGTTAATTTAAAATACTTAATGTATTTTTGATAATGCTAGCTATTTGTGTGGTTTGGGTTTTGTTTCGAGTAGTGTTACGTGTAGCATGTCACACAAATATTTTTTGCGTATATAATTTGCCTTTGGCTATGTGTGATTATGTATATATATATACATATACATATATACATATATATAACCTATTTATATAAATTGCCATATGAAGGCTCATATGTGATCATACAGATGATAGGGTCTATCCTATAAATTGCGTGCTTTGTGTCCTAGTGTAATTAAAGAAACGCCGTTGTAGTAAAAGAATTGATAACTCTTTGATTTTTCTTCGAGCAGGGTTGTAGGGAACGTGTGTGGGAAAATACCTAAGCAGATAATTATCGCTGTAAAGGCTCCCGCACAAGGTGGTACTCCTGCTCAGCATGAAGCTCACATATGTGCTCACGCTTCGTACGTGCTGATCAGGAACCTCTCACCCACAGGCACTTGGAACGTCTCAATAAAAAAAATAATGGTAAATAAACACGAAATGTATTTACTACCAAAGTCTTAATGTTTCTCTACTCTATTTCGCCTATAATCACCTGTAAATGCCGGTCAAATGTTCATCTGCAACACACAAGTAGTTGTACACCGCACGCTAGCTGCTGCACACTGACACATAAATATATATCAAGAGCTAATAATACTTTTGGTTCTATACTAAAGTATTATTAGCTCTTGATATATATATATATATATATATATTTATGTGTCAGTGTGCAGCAGCTAAAGTGCGGCGGCCAGCGTGTGACTGTGTTGCAGATGAGCATTTGGACGGCATTTACAGGAAATTGTCGGCAATAATAGGTGAAAGAGAGTAGAGAAACATTAAGACTTTGGTAGTAAATAGATTTCGTATTTATTTAGCATTATATTTTATTGAAACGCTCCAAGTGCCTGTGCTTTCACCCCCGCACACGATGAGCTTCGTGCTGAGCAGAAGTCTAACTGCGGGTACCACTGTCTGGTGCACGGGGGCACGAAGCGGTCATTGGAGCGGGTGCACGGTTGAACCAATCAAAATGCGCAGCCATTTTGGAAGAACTAATTACGCATGCGCCGACAGTGAGTTCAGCCCATAGAGTTGTATTAATATACAACTCTAATATATAGGTCTAATATAGGGGTCTAATATATAACTCTATGGTTCAGCCTCGCGAGACCAAAATTATCAAGCATGACAGATATTTTCCTCACCGCCTCGCGAGACCGAAAACTCAGTGAGATCGACACCGCACACGGTGAGGTTCCTGCTGAGCACGGTGTTGCGAAATCTTAAATCTCGCCTGTGCCGGTTCTATCGTCTATTTTATATCGCACACTCTATCATTGATACTAAACACTCTAAATATATATATATCACTCATTGGTTTATTTAATATACACACTCCGTACAGTTACACTACTTTCCTTGCATTAACACTCTCTACACCCTTCTCCGTCAACACTCTTTTCCAATCTGCCTTCCCTATCTTGCGTTCCCCGAACCACTCTCTCTCCGCCGCGAAAACCTGAACCCACACACAATGTAGCAATTATCATAAACATCTGTAAAAGGTCACTCCCCCTACACGTCATCGCTCCCCAGCCGGTGCCGCCGCGCCGAACTCATTCTCCGAGATTACACATCATACAAATCAGGAGGAGATAATAGGGAAAAAATTCCCTATTATCTACTCCTGATAGGCCTACATATCTACACATTCACAATCCACATATCATCTGATATCATCAAGAGTACATATTCATACAATTATACATTATGCTATACGTTTACATGATATTTCCCAACACAAGGAGCGTGAGCTATATAAAGATATATAGATTATGTTCTACAAAAGAATGCTACATACATAATAAACATATATAACATTGTTACAACGTGTACGTTTAAAGTTGAACGCGGGTACCTGAGAGTATTTTGATGTGAAAATGCAACCACAGAGACCTGAGGCATAGTTTGTAAAACGTTAAAGTGAATACGTCACCGTAAATACTAAAAAGGGGGGAAAAAATCCACTTTTTCACAAAATATAGGTGATTCTGTTCACTTTTTATGGTTAAATTGCTGCATTATACTTCTTATTTTACTATATTGTTCGATGTGAACATACACTCGTGACTCATACATAGCCTATAGCAAGCAATTAATGTTATGAACGCTATATAATATCAAATCATCCAGGTTTTTTGGATTTTTAGCTAGTTGAGAAACAATCTTATCAGGTAAGAATTTGACGATACGTTTAATCCCGTTAGTTCTTACTTTTAATGTAAAAAAATGGCAACAAACATTTTACAAATTTTACCATAGAAAATTCGTGACGTAGTCACTTTAAGAGCAGTTTAGCCACCCATCGAGTTATGTTATATAAAAAGAGAATCTTTCTTCTTTTTTATATATAGTGTGATACTCTTTAATTGTGATACGCCTTGCTTTAGTAGTTCGGCCAAGAAATTTTTGCCAGAGATTTGACCATTTATTTAGAAGTAAAAATAAGGTTTAAGTGAACCGAGATTTAACACACTCACGCAATCCGGACCCTCGTGAAGCTGCTCTTTTCACGTAGAGGGTGGACAGCTAAGAGTAGTTTGATGTGAAAAATGAACATTCCAACGTCTTATTTCAATTTACACTGAAAAACGAGTACACAGTTGAAGCTATATATTTTTGCTAGAGAGACATAGTGAAGCATTGCGATACACATCACATCAAGCTATTGTCGTGTATTAGCTCTCTTGTTTGAATGTATAATTCCAAAATACGGTTTCTTTCGCCGGACACAGGTTTAGCCCGCAAAACATGGATCAGATCAGAAATGATTTGTTTATGTAGAATAGACTGACTGACGTTGATTTGAAGTTGTGCACGTACGCGCGCGCATGCGAGTGCGTGCGTGCGGGCGCGTGTGGCATTATACTGCATTATACGGGAACCTCTTATTTCGCAATTACAGTGTTACCACCATGCCATAGGAGGGCCCTACCGTAATATATATATTTACTGCCATGAGAGTACATTTAATGCTAGTTCCATATTGCGGCCATCAACCCTTAGAAACTGGCATGCTCGCGCGCTAACTCGTTTTCTCCGTCGCTTTCCTCCTAATTGCTAATTCTATTACTATTCTAGATTCTAATAATCGCAACCCTCTCGCGCGTGCCCTATATCGCTACATGTGTTGCGTTACGCAGGCGCCGCTAGCCAGCTGTTATATTGGAGGGGGTGGGGGCTTCGTTTTCAATGTGTGGCAATTTGCTCGCAGGGGCGTGTACAGATTTGTACCAAAGGGGGGTCTAACCGAAACAAAAGTTTGCGCAGCACGCGAAGGGGGAAGCGGGGGGCCCTCCCCGCAGAATTTTTTTTAATAGCACGCCCTCAGATGCGTTTTCTGCGCCGGACCAAGGGGGGCGCTCCCGGACTCCGCTGTGACCCGACCCCCCCTGTACACGCCCCTGCTCGGGCCGCGAAGCGACGCAGGCGAAGGGAGAGCCAACGCGACCGAAGGCGGGGGAGGCTAGTGGGAGCGGGGGTGTTCACTGTTTCACCCATCCCGCACGATGGAGATTTTGCAATTATTACACCTAAAAATGGAGGCGAGCACTGAGGTGAACCTTTCTTGGCGAGAGGATTTCACTTTTTGCTGGGGGAGGGTGCTTGGAGGGGGTTCGTTCGAACGCCCGCAAAACCGCCCTGGCTAGCGGCCCTGGCTTACGAAGATGATGATAATAAAGAAACAATCACCGCACCAGCATACTAGCTTTGAAAGCCTATTTTGGAGAAGAACACAAATATTTGCAATTACCGTGCCATCACTATGACACATGAGGGCACCGTGGTGACGCTATGATTTGTGTATGATTTATGCATTTACTCATTTTTTTCAATTATCTCCAAAATGGATGAGGGTACCTGGTCACATATATAAGACAAAAATATGCGGAATGTATTATTTCCTTGTGCTCTCGTGTTCTGATATCAACATCGTGTACGACTAACTGCCGTCATGTTGAAGTTTTGTGTGATCTTTCTCGTGATATTCGTTGTTTGGCCATCGCAAGCATCTGAAAGTGATCTAATTAAGTTACCTCTGCCTCTACCGCCTGATCCGCTAATTCTTACTATACCGCCAGGTATGTTTAGTAGCTATATTTATACCAAATTTAATTCAAGAAACGAAAATGTACACTGAATATTTATTTCAAAAACGCAGTAACGATATACTACGATATCATTTCGCAAGAATCTCGGGTTCGGCTAACGCGATTGGTCTTATTTTAATTCTAATTTTAGCTTGGTTTAAATTTTGACGTACACAGAAGTAAAATTATTACATTTGTTATATATGGTGTTATAGATGTTATATATGTATGTTATATGTGTTATACATGTGATTATCGTGTAGCATCGCTGATTGCTATAACTACAGGTTATTTACATGCATCTTGTATTTGTAAATGTGTCATGTTATTGTATTTTGTTTTCACCAATGCATATAACCTCTGAATATTTAACAATTTTATGTGTATATTATATTCTGCGTTAACTGAGAACGTTAGACATCCGAACAACAATCCGTTATATCTTACAAAAAATTGCTTCAAAAACTAAAACAAATAGGATTTGACACATACTCAACGATACTGATTGATAAATACAGGCAGAAAACAGAGAGTGAAAATTAATAACAATACATTAGAATGTGGAGTTATTGTTAGAGGAGTTCAACAAGGGACACTACTATAGGACCGTAACTATTCTGCATATATATATATACATTAACAATATACTAAACATACTTGAAAAATGTGAACTGACCCAATATGCTGACGATACATGAATTTATTGTGATATATTCTGAATAAATATACGTAGGTATATGTATGTATATATACATATATATATATGCGTGTGTGTGCGTGTGCGTGCGTGTGTGCATGCGCACGTGTGCGAGTGTGTGCGTGTGTGTGTAATGTGAGTGGATGTGTATGTACGGGTGTGGGTTTATACGTGAGTGAGTGCGTGCGAGTACGTGTTTAAATGATTTTTAAGTGTACCTTGTCACTATACTTGTATAGAAAGTGTTTGTGTTGTACAGCGTTGTTTTGTACAGAACGGAAACTTTTCATTGAAAAAGACTTGTCTTCAGTACATGTATTTGTATTTGAATTACGTGCAATAAAGAGTTAATAATAATAATAATAATAATAATAATAATATAAAAAAAAAGGCGTTTTGTACAGAACGGAAACTTTTTATTGAAAAAGTCCTGTCTTTAGTACATGTATTTGTATTTGAATTACGTGCAATAAAGAGTTAATAATAATAATAATAATAATAATAATAATAA